ATGTTACCACGCGTCTGCAACGTTCGACTTATTCGATTTCGACGTCGTATTGTTATTTTCGACGATTCTCCTTCGGAAACAAGGACCTTTACCATCACAACTGTTACGGTTTCGGATTTTTCGTGTTCATTGACCAGCAGCTGCTGTAAACCGAAAACGTGCGGAAAAGCGTGATGCTTTTCCGCACGTACACGTACTTCCTTGTGTCCGTATATTTTATTTTTGGACCTCACACGAACCGTTCGCGACTTCTTCGCTTCCAACCAAGACTCCGTGACCGAATGCCAAACGAGCCGGTACCCTGTCCATCCATTTTCGCCGATTATTTTTTTTAATTTTTTTAAACTTTTTTTTTGACAACCTTCAATTTCACTCAACGCGAGTTTTTTATGGTGTAATCAAAGGTTTGTCGGTATTATTTTTTAGTACATTCAAAACAACTTTCGTTAAAATTATAAATAACTTTTAATAAGACTTATTACTTAGTAATCGTATGATTATCATGTAGTGATCATAAGGGGAAAACATTATTTCAATCGACGTTTAAAAACGTAAACAATCATATTATTTGACCCTGAGAACATGGTAATCATCAAAAAAAAAAAAAAATCATTTAAAAGATGATGTGCGGAGACAAGTATCCACGATGTTGTGGTGACACGAACGATTAGAGAGATCTAGTGTTCGGTCGATGGGACTCGTGTTGACGTCCGTGACCGCACTCGTTACGAAATGTCGTGTCCGGTAAGGAAACGTCGTGGACCATCAACCGGTAACATAAAATCTGGTCCGGACGCAAAGGCGTAAGTAAAGATTATTTACGGAGAGGAAGAGTTCAATAAATGCAGGCAATAATTATTTTTATTATTATTATTATTCCAATTTGTTTACCAGCTGAAATATTGAAAACGGGGTAGGGGGTTCGAACTTCCGAACACCCCTCCCATCTACGCCACTGTCCGACGGTACCGACGTTGATAATCTACGGGAACGGGATTTTCTCAACGTTCGGGCCCCGTTCGGAGAAGATGTAGTAGAGGATACGATAGGACGACGATCGGCACCGTTAAAGAGTACACGCGACCGGTGCGAATACAATATTGGACGTGCGCGTTCAGTGCCTGTACCGACCTCGGTGGTGCCGAAACCGAACGGAGTACGTGCGAAAAAAAACGGGACGAGACTTGACTACCTGGTTAGCCTAATAATATTTGCGTTACACGAACAACATCGTGGGACGAATAAGACACGCGGACTATGCAGCAGGATGTGTGCCGAAGAGTTGATTATCAACCGCGTTTGTTCACAGTTAACAGAAACGACCCGTTGATCCGAACACTGGACGTTGGAACAACTCTTCCACTGGCGACCATATTGTTGTCGTATAGGGCATCTGCTCTATCTGAAAATAGGGTTCGGTGCACGAATGGATGTACAGTCACAAACGTAACACGTACGTCTACTGCTTGCCGCGACGAAACGAAAATAAATAAAGACTTGGCACATCGTTGTTTTTTTTCAAAGGATTTGTTTTATTGTTGAAAATAACGGTTAACACTTGGGTTTTTTTTTTTTTTTATTATTATTATTACAAAGCTTAATACATTAGGTTTTTCTTACTAAAAGTAATAGTATTGTAGTAGTAGTACATAATATTATTAATAAATCGCCGTGCATTTAGGTGAAACACACAGACACACACGCACACGCACACACACGCACACACACACACACACACACACACACACGCGCGCACACATATTCACTCACAGACGCACACACACACACATATACATACACGCGCGCACACATACACACATGCACATACATGCATATCACACAAGATCGGCTACCTATATTAGTGCATATTACAAAATGCGGCAGCAGAAAAGTGTACAAGGGCAGTATTACATTATATTGGGGACGTGCAAAATAAAAGAGTACAATGGTAAATCGATTATGGTCGTCGCGAAGTTAAAGAAAAATAAATAATAATAATAATAATAATAAAAAAAAATACACGTTAACAAACCGCGATTTGCTTAATAATATTTTTGTTTATTTTGAATAAAAACACGACGACGGTTGTTACCATTGCAATATTATGTGCCTGATAGGAGAAGGTAAAGAGTTTCTAAAATAAAAAAAAAAAAATAAAGGAAAAATCACAAGTAATGTACAACATATTTTACATTGCAGGTACGCGACTTGTAAAAAAAAATACATTAATAATAATAAAATAATAATATTGTAACAACACAATAATGTCGGGACAAAATTAACGCATACACATTAAGACTAAGCAGACGGCAATGGGGAGGAGGGAGACAAATACATATTCATATTTATTGTGATTTTTTATGGTAACGGTATTTATAGTCTAAATAAGAAAAACCGTTTTAGAATATTACAAAACGCGATCGGTGTACGGACAATGCACGCGTCTTACAGCTGCTAATATACGTTGATTATAATATTATTACGTATTTACAAATATTTTGTTACCGTGCCGTTTTCAATACTGCGTTTAAGAAACTATACCACTGTGGGGGATGCGAAATCGTGTGGAAAATGAATAAAACTGTTGCCGTACCGTCTGACGACCCACGGCGTCGTCGTGGCGACGAGGAATAAAACGTTCGAAACTATTCTGCCCACAGTTGAGGGAATTATACAAAAAAAGATAATATCATAAAATAAATAAATAAATATAAAAGGATGGTAAAGAATTTGGGGACGGGGGAGGACAAGCATCTAAAATCGTACAATTTCGTGTATTTACACGTTTATAGTGGATTATATAAATACACTATTATTTACAATAAAAAAAAAAAAAATAAAATAAAACAATAATCGCCTTACTACGGCGTTTTTATCGAAAGATCTTCAATAATTTTACTTACGTTAAACAATATATTATCCGATTCATTCGGTCGGCTCTCTCTTAACTCAAGTTCGTATGGAATTGTATTTTTTTTTATTCAAACGGATAAGTACAGCATAAATCATTCATAACGAAAAACGGCCAATTTAATAAAGTAAACCTGAGGGATGACTTTTAATTTAACGTCCCGACAAGTCCCGGGCTCTTATGTATGCCGTACGAGATGCGGTTCGGCCTTCGTGACAATCGTTTGTAAAACAACCCATTGTATGCGATTCAGACTGTAAGTTATTATATAATATGCTAAACAACATTATCTTAAATTATTATTTCCGGGTCGTAAGAGCGATTATCATTATTATTATTATCATACATGAACACATTTATGTTTATATAAAAGTCTGCTATTCTGATAATTATGTCGAAAAATAACGTCGACGAAATAGAAAAAAATTAAATTTCTAATAATCATGTGCAGGGTGTAACAACTGTTACCATTCACTACGTATAGGTTAACGTTGTTTAAAAGTATTAAAACGATCATTGAAATATGCGAGTATTAAAAAAAAAAAATAATAATATTAGCTTTTTATATTTTTTACGAAAATTGCATGAATATTACATGAACAAATATGATGCCTCGAGAATAGATTGAAAAAAAAAAAGGAATGTTATCCTTGCAACAACCTGCACACGATTTTCTGTATATACTATATACATATTTCAATAACTATAACATAGTATTGTGTAAAGGCTAAAAGTGTTTCATTTTACAGTAGCCTTTTAATATTATTTTTTATAAATTAGAATTATTAATACTTCGTGGTACTTGAGTCATACTACTTATCAAATACATCATATTAAACATAAGCGTACATGGAACAGGATGTGTTTCAATGTTTTATTATCGTGATCATTACTATAATCATTTATTATTTTCAGTGATAACGTGGAGAGATGATGGGTCGAGTCAATGTGGAATTTTCCGGAAGTTTTTTAATTTTCTTTTTAATACCTAGAACACATAGTAGTAAAAAGTTTCGGTCGATTTCTAAGAATTTTGGAAGTAAAATGTTGACTAGATTTAACATACTAAACGGGAATCACTGTACAACTCGTGTACTCGGTGACAATTTGAATAACAACGAGTGGAGGGGGGGGAGGGTTTTCTCCGGTCAACCGGTGTTCGACGTGGCTTATAGAGCATTCATGTTGCCGACAGAAATAATAATAATAAAGAAAAATAAATTACAATGGCCAATACCGTATTGTAACGTGAGCGATGTTCGCCATAATTCTCGTCACGTATTATATAGTAGCCGATCGTAGCCACCTGTTGCCGAGAGGTGTGGGTGGGTCGAAAAACTGCTTTTGCATACCATTTCAAACGGTACACATAATGCGAACGAATAATGTGTAAAATTTGGTAACATGTAGCGGAATGGGCACTTGAATAAACGAAACGAACGCGGTCGATGCGGTTTAAATCGATGTACAGTGTGTGCCGGACTAACACGGAAAACGACTATTGACCGTTCCGCTATAATAATAATAATAATAATAATAATATTAATAATAATAATTCAATAATAATAATAATAATAATAATAATAATAATAGTAATAATAATAATATTAATTATAATAATAATAATAACACGATAATATTACAACAATTACGAGAACGCAGTTGTTCGAAATCTTACGATAATAATAATAATAATAATAATTACATACATATTACGTTTAAAAAAAAAATCAAACGTTAAAAATACATGTAATAGTAATGTGTTGGTATTGTGGAAAGAAAAAAAAAACAATAAAAAATTATCCCCCGAGGCTTTCGAGCGTAATTCAGAAACGTGGTGGTGTTTAATACGAAGCGAACGGATCACGGGACACTGGAAAATAGCCGAGAATTGGTTCGCCTTCGTGTGATTGAATGTGGTAGTAATAAACGAGCCGCTATACGAAACAATAACGACTCGTGATTTCGTTTGTTGAAACAACGCGATTTCGTTGCGTCTATGTTATGACGGGGAATTCGTTCTATAAAACTATTTCGATGGATAATAATAATAATAATAATAATAAATGTTTTTGTTATTTTTTCCATATTTTTTTTTTTTTTTTTTTAATAAACTTCGTTGTGTTCCGGTTTTTGTTGAGAAATTGTTTTAGGCTTGATCGAGTGTTTGAAGGGCTTCAGGATGGTGGTGTCTGTTACGTCTGTTGTGTCTGAACCGAATTCGACTGTGCTTGGTGGTCGGTCGTGAAGGAGGAGGTGGTGGTGGTGGTGGTGTCGTGGTGGTGGTGGTGGTGGTTGTCGTGGTGGTGGTGGTGGTGGTGGTGGTGGTGGTTGTGGTCGTGGAGGGCGACTTTCTGATGTTACCGCCAATGATTGATGTCAACGGTTTCTTGATCGTACCGTTGCGCTTGCCGCCACCGCCGATGACATTCTTGCCGAACGAAGCAGCCACCTTGCGGTTGTGATCGCTGATGTCGAACTTCGTGTCTAACTTGAGGAAATTCAGGCACCGGTTCAACGGGTCCGTTTGGAACACATGGCGCTTCATCGGCCGGCCCTTCCGGTTGAAACCGATGTACCGTGACTGGTCGACCACCGACTTATATCGCGTATAACCGGTGGACAACATTTCCTCGTAGAACAGACACTTGGGGCCGCGGAAGCGTTTCTGAAAGTAGAAAACAAACCATAAGCAACGCCGTACCGTAAACTTGGCGTACGAGTAGACATGTATAGTAAAGTTTCAAAACGATCAACTAGACAAGCCTAACCTGTAATCATGCGTTTATAGGCTCGTGTTTTACAAGTCTAATGATAGTGACGACTAGTTCATTGTGATCGGACATTAGTTAAATACGGTCTTAGAATATTTGCGATAGGTGCTTTAATTTTATTACAAATCAATCGTTTTTAGACATAACTGTTGATGATTTCAATACCTACCAACGTCTTATCATTTATTTTTCGTGGTATTAAAGAGAAACACGTTATACTTACAAACTAATTTCCTAAATTTTTTTAATTCAGAGATCCAAAAATGATATTGATGCAGTGTGATTTTAGGTAATAGATAATATATGTGCACGAAAAAGGATCCTGAGGAATGAACGACCCCATAAAATACGCTTTCGAGTACAGTTGCTGTGTAATTTTGTATAGAGTTGTAAGAGATTTTAGAAGTATTTTACGACTAAGAGGAAAAAAAAGAAAAACGCTGATGTATTATCTTGTAGAAGATATTATTTGAAATAATTTCAAACGTGATACTATACATCGTACACATCAGCATGATTGCTGATAGTTGAAAACTAAAACAATATGAATTACATTGTGATCATAAACATGTCTATAGCGTCGTTATTTGAAAAATAAATTACCGAAAACGCGGTTTACACAATCCGAGTGTCGGTCGTAATTTATACAAACGCACAAGGCTTAAAGCCGGAACAATGGATTTTTCTTGGTTTTATCTCGTTTTACTATAATATCGGCCGAAACACATTACGCCGACCCTGGACTATTTTATAAAAAATATTTCTAAAATGCTAAGAAAATTTGATTGTCTACGATTGTAAGAAATAAGATTTTCTTGTTATCTGAGAGTAATGAACTTTTAATTATTTTAACGTTATATCTTTATTTAATTATAAATACGTATATTCTTGTTCATTTATCGTATAAAAAAAAAAAAAAAAAAAGAAAAAAGTTTTATTTTAAAATATTAATATGGTACGTGGTATTGTACACCACATGTCAAGTGTACGTTCTCACCTATGTTAAAAATCGTATAGTTAATAACTTAGGTTAATTTATTGTAATAATAAGTTTTATACGATTGTTGGGCGCTTGACGCCGTCTTATGCCGTATAAAATACTGTTCATGTAGCCAACACAATAATAATATCGTTGTCGGGCGCTGTGTTTCAGCGGTCAAACATGAGTAGGAATAATGAAAATGTATTAATACCATTCTAAGGATACGAGCGAATAAACGAATGTAATATATTGGTCGTGTTGTAGTTATATAGATGCACACAGAGTGTCGAAATTGAACACATAATATAATCGAGTGAAAAATGTGTTTTTTTTTCCCGCACATTCTTTCTGTATGTTTACTTAGCGCGCGTAGACGATAAAAAATAACATTCGAGTGCGTGTATTCGATTGTGAAATTCATCTAGTAAACGTGCATGATGAAACAATGTACGTGAAAGATAATTATGTGCCGTACAGTATAGTCCTATCGGTTTATTGAGCATCATAAAAAAAAAAATTGAATAAAGAAGAATTCATTACGAAGGGTGAGATACGCACGACCGAGTTTTACTGTGGACCTATGTTATGTTTACTATCCACGTACGACAGATATGTTATATTATATTAAAAAAAAAAATACAATTCGTCGTGGTTGTATTTGCTACAGCACATGCTACAATATTATAAACACTTACCGAACCAACAAGGGACCATTTGTTGTTGAAACACAAATACCGATGCGACTCTTCAGCGAATATCGACAGTTGAATACTGAAGTCCAGGGATTTGACAGTCAAGTTTTCTGTTGGTAAAAGAAAAAAAAATTAATATACGAAACTGTATGTTTTTGTTATGTATACCAACTAATATCCTAATATTATGCAAATAAATCGATTAAATTCAGTTCAAACATAATCAGTTCTAAGTACAAATATGTTTACGTAAGTTTGTTTTTAGCAAAACCGGATTCCTGTGTAAAAATATACACTGTACAATACACGTATATTGAGTTGATTATATTTTCTAAGTTGTAAAATATTATACCGACATTTGATATGCTTACTTGATTGAATATTTAAAACGATAAATAAAATGTAAGTATGCGTCAAAAATGTTAATTAGTTTTTAATATTATTTACCACATACAAGAAAAAAAAATATAATAATAAAAAAAACAATCGAAGCAAAAGTTTATTTTTTAATCATACTACCTATGTTATTGGGATATTTTTTTAATATTTCGATTATTTTTCATTTTTGTTGGGCGATTATTTATAAACGCATTAATTTGTTGCTATCTCTAATATCAGTATACCATTTTGAAGCCTCACGGTCTAAAGTTTTGATGTTCGCTCTATGCAGAACACTCGACGAGGACGTAGATTAAACTTAAACGTCATACACTAATTTATCGAATACACAGTGAACCGAAAAAAATGCACGGCGAACTCTTCATTTTATAGTTTGATGGTGATTCGTTTGTTGTTCAATCATATAATTAACTATCGAAGGACAATTTTTTTTTTTTTTTTAGTCTTGCAACGCTTTTCGGAGGACGACGATTTCCCATCAAGTCAAAACTCCGCCATCCAACACACGGAACCCGGACACGTATTTCACATATACCATACGCTAATACATTGTTAACAAAAAAAGAGCGCTATGGATATTGAAATATGTTAATTACATCCATTAAATCATTGTTGTTAGTACCACCTATACAAACGTTGATAGACACATGTTGGTGTACAACAAGCGGTTAGCCTACGCGATGCTCCCAGATCAAATATATGCGTATTATAATGTACTCTCCTTTGGATTTCGATCTTGACCCGGATGGCCGCGGACGATGCGTTGCGTGTTCCGTGTGTTATCACGGACACGCGCCCGTTGGACGATTACGGCTGTATTATAATAAAGGTGTAAAAGGAATAGAGGTTCCGTGTACAACGTAGTATTACACGTTGACGCGTGATGATATTGCCCGAGTGCGTTGAAAGTGAAAATCATACGCGTACACCGTGTACAATTTTATAATAATATGCACGTTCATAGGGTACATTAACAATTCGGTGATCAATCATGGGACGGCGGAGCAGTACTGTGTAATGCGTTAGCGACGATTGTAATGCATCTATGTGAACGAGATAACGTAGGCAACGCACGCCAGTGTAAAAAAAAAAAAAAACATTAATGTATTATTATTACAACAATAATGATAGTATTATTAATATGCCGTTTCGATATTTGTTCATTGGTGGTTATTTGGACGGGCGACCGACGCGCTAAAGCCTAACGGAACGCATTCGTTTCGTGTTATATAATATTGTCAAATATAATAGAAACCAGTACTTCAAATTTCTAGTCACGATCGCGCCCGTGGAATGTTCAAGCGTTTCGTATACTATAACCGATTTAGAAAAAAATAAATAAAACAAACACACGCGCACTTTACGATTGCCGAGTGTGTTTATTTATCCTGAGGAGTAGTGGTGCACACGAGTGTGCTACGAGGACGCGCACGCAACGTTACAACATTTTCCATTACGAACGAAAATAAAAGGAAAAATAAATTAAATAACAAAAATTCATCCGTGATGAGTTTACCGTATAGAATATCACTTGCGTCACTATCGCGGTGTCCACGTATTATGTAATGCATGTATACAGTACGGCCTATTGTTGTCGCGAGGACGTGCGCACAGCCATCGGATAGTACATCTACTATTTTGTATAATTTCTGTACATAAAATTAAGACGTGGTGATGAATATTATTATACTCGATGTCGCAGCGAACGGTGTGCGGGAAAAAATTCGACTGCTATTCGATGGCGCAGACGTCGGTCGGACACGTTGGAAAAGTATGCAAACGCTTTATACCCAGGGTTAAAAGTGGAAAAAAAAAGAGCAAGGGGACTCTAATCTGTATACCAGTATCGTTCTCAACGTTCCATACAGTCCCATGTAATAATTAGGTAATCAATTATAAATATATATATATATATATATATTCTGGTGTTTTTAATGAACGATTTTCTTCGCGAACTATTGATGCGCTGTAAAAAACGTCTAAAGTTGTATATTAATTTCTTATTGTTTTTAATAACAGATCATAAATACATGTTTTAATAAAATTAAAATAAATAATAAATGATATTTAATACGAGTTAATTTTGTTTCTAGAACTCTGTTTAACACCTAGTAACGTCTGCTAAACTGCAGTAAATTTTTCAACTGTTTTTATTGGGAATAATTGTTTTTAACAACCAGTCGAGCGTTTCAGTAAACTTTTCAGGGAAACGTTAAAAGAGATGCTTTATACGCACTGTGAGAGGTAGGGGAACTGAGAAGCCTTGTATTTAAACCCTGTAAACACCTATATGCCTCACCGGAGGGAGTTTACGACGGTATTAAGTCATCGAAGTCTTTCAGTTCGAACGCGAGATAGTTTGCGGATACACTACGCGAGTGCGGGCCGTGAGTACTAAGGAACGGGTACGGAGTGAAAAAAAACTAATAGATAGTGCGATGAGCTTATATCGAACGTAACAAATCTAGTGTTCCAGAAATACAATCACGGTGCACCATTATGTTTTTATCACGAAAGAGTTTCAACATTGCACGCACGCGCGTACCTGTATGACCTGCTGTACGGTGCTTGCCCGCGAAAATTCTCCTCGTGTGCACGGCAGTCGCAAGGTTATACGGTAAGGACGGGCCGAGGGATGGTACGCTGCAGGAATACTTTGACGGAACACGCGCGCGACAGGAATGTTATGCTTGAGCAGGAACGCGCGCGCGCGTGCAATATAAATATTGTTTTACGACGAAAACGTACGCGCACGGCCGCGATAACTGCATAAGAGTTCGTTACCCTTGCCGGGCTACCTGTTGCACAGTGCGGGCGGCGCACGTACCTACGCGTCGCCGCTCTGCAGTTCGCTGCACACACACACGTATCGCGATAACGTAGCGTATCCGTCGTAAACAATACGAAAACGCAAACGGAACGCTTAATGTTTATAATGTTTGTCATTGTTCTCCCGACGAGAAACTGTTGTCGACACATCCAAACACCATACAATGCCATCGTATCGCACGACGCGCGTACGGGCCAGGCGCTGCAGAGCGTGCGAGCCCTTTTAAGCCGCGTACATACTTGTAATATTCGCGCGTAACAAAACGCCGTAACGCAACTTAGGCGCGTAACAGCAATCGATGTGTGGACGCGAAGGCGTCCCACGAGTTGTCGGTAAATTTGAACCGCATCAAAAGATTGTTGCGAGGTGGGGTTACGAAAAGTGTGGACGCAAATAATAATGCATCTACGCAACAACGCATTATTTGTATTCTGAACGTCACGCTACACGCTCTAAGTCGTGAACACTGTTGTCTGTAATTAATTTTTGTAACTTAATATTTCAATATGGAGTGGAATGTAGAAAATACAATACAATTTATTGAATTCTATGAACAAAAACCATTACTTTGGTATGCAAAACATCCTCAATATTATAATAAAATCAAAAGAAATGATGCTTTGGAAGAAATAGCAAAAGAAATTGGGTTTACTGCTGATGAATGTAAAAAAAAATTCTTGGCTTGTTATCTGCAATAAGACGAGAAAAATCAAAAATCAAAGTCAATAAATAAATAAACATGGAACACTACGCAACATCGCAACACCTACACACAAATAATAATATCGTAACACGTAACACTACAGATTCACATTACGGCGTTTCGTTATACGCGAATGTTTCAAGTGTGTACGCGGCTTTAGACGTACTATCGAAATGGCGGCGGCGTTCGTTCAAATGTCCATTTTTTTTTTTTTTTTTGTTCTCGAAACACGAGTAAGCTGCGCGTTTGCGCCGACCGGTATACGGAGTCGATACAGATCAATCGTACCTACTCGTACAAATGCCCCTAAGACGTATACAATACTGTATAATATTGCTTATGCGTCGCGCGATATGTTATGTGTCTAAATAGTTATCAAAGACAAACGGCGTATCGTTCAGTGGCGTAGTCAGGGTATGGTGAACTTGGCCTACGCCAGGGCCCTAAAGAGGCGTAAAATCGTGCATAAGTCGTGTTTTTATCCTACAGTCGAATCGAAATTTTTCCGTTACACTTTTTGAATACGTAGATGCCATCCATTTGTACACACTACGTGTGGGTTTAATGCTGAAATTATGAAAATGGCACAAGGGCATTTAAATAAAAAAATTTCGTATGAAGAAATTATTGATGAATTTACCAGCCATAGAGCGAGAAATGCAAATCTTCAATGTTGATAATTAACACTGTACTAATAACTTATAAATTGTGTACTCAGAAAAATTAAAGGTTAAAAAAATATCATAACGTCAAATTGGTCAATAAACTTTTTTTTCTAAGTTTGCCGGGGGCGCTAGCGAATCTTCCTACGCCACTGGTATCATTACGACCGCGGGATTCTGCATATGACGAAGCGCGCACAACCGTCATCGAGGGAATTGCGAAGAAAAACGCTTCCACTGTGAATTATATACGCGATATATTCTGAATTGTGCGACCGTGTATTTCGAATTCTGTTTACACGTCGGCTGCAGTTTATGAATATAAGTATTGATACGAATCAACCAGAGTCATCCCCTTCAGAGTCTCCATTTTTAAATACAAAACGTAATTTACGTTTTATAACATCTCATATGTCGAATTTTTTTTTTATATATTTAGATGTATCATTGTGATACTATAGCCGTCACATATTATTTTCAGAAACCCTCGTCAGAAGATCTCGTCTTTATAAGCAATACGAGAAAATGGAAAAGATGCATAGAGTTTTGAATAGATAGTTTGAAGAATAAAACGAGTTGATACGATGTAGATTGTTCTATATACTCATATTATGTAAATCACGATTTGGGCCGAAAAGTTATCAACCGATCAACTTTTTACCTTTCCATGAATTTTGCAATATGAGTGAAAATGACCGTGGACAAAGTTTGAATGTGATTGTTCAGACTAGAAAATCATGCACGACGGTCGTGATTATACGTGAACACCTTATTTGAATAAATATGCGTGATCATGACATTTTTTATACCACCACGATAAGACCTCCTTGCCTCCCTTTGCCCTCTACGAGACGGTATAGTTACGCAAATACTATTATGTATACTTAAATTTACCAAGTAATACTAATATTATAATGTGTAAATCTGTCGACCTTTAATTGTTTTATTTTATCGTTCGCAATCGATCCCACGAACGTGAAACAGAATAAATTACAAAGATACTCACGAAGTGCATTCGAAGTTTCGTCGTTGGCGAGGACTCGTCCCCGGAAGTCAACCCTGACATTTCGACTACTGCAATCGTTGTACAGTCGAACCCCCAATCCATAACCAGGGCCGCACCTCCAAATGTCGCACAACACCACCTGAAAAAATGTTATTATTATTAATTATAATATTATTATGGCACTAACATTTAAAAAACGTTTACGGTCTTATAAAACATATTAAAGGTAAATTTCCGACAATACATATATATAAATACGTATTAATTATAGGGTAGAAAATATTTTCAATGTTTTAAAATCAATGTTAATGGTTAATTTATAAAAATTTGTATTATATTTTTTGGCATATAACTTGTTTGCTTGTTATAACAAAGTACAATAATATAATATATTTACGATACTTTTTCGTCACAAAATATTTTTAGAAAAAATCTATTGGAAAATCGGAGCGGAATATATACTAAAAAGTTCTACGCAGTTTCTTATGTTATAAATGCTTCAAGCATAGGCATAACTAGATCCTTAAGTTAGGGGGGGGGAATTTCAGCCTTAACATGTTTAAAATAAGTAAAAAATGTCGGGGGCTTTGTCCCCCACACCACCCAAAATCGTCCCTCAAGTAATATTCATTAAAAACTTAAAGGAATTTTATAACTATTACATCTTAAGCCTCCGCTCAGTATTGTCAAATTTATTTAAAATGTCTTCTTTGTTTAGAATGTTTGACAAATCTTTTTCAATTGATATGATTGCTAACTTGGAAAATCGATTTGGTAATATAGTTGACCTTATGTAGGTGTTTATTCGACGCATTGCTGAGAACGTTCTTTCATAAGATACGGAACTTGTTGGAACTGCAAGCGCTAAATGTAGCATTTTGTATAAATTTGGGAAAACAGATTTTTCAACGATACTCATAGCTGCTTTAAATGATTTTAAGTCAGTTTCATTAATATTTCGTTAATCGTTATCATAAGTTATTAATAATTGTTATGTCTTCTACGATTATTTTTGTGTTTAATTTATTAATAATTTCTAAGTAATATTTATGCAGTATAACCTTACACACAATCATCGTATTACAATGATGCATATAACCAAAAAAAAAAATAATATTTTTCCAAGACATCAATAAAAAAATAAAATGATATTATAAATTAAAATTAAAAATTAAGTTGCTGCGAGCAAGCTAAGAATTATGACAGAGGGAGGGGGGCTAAAATTCATATTGGAGGGCTTAGCCCCCTAAGTCCCTTCCCAAGTTACGCCTATGGCTCCAAGTAGTACGAATTTAACACTGCGTAAGTGATACTTCAAAAGTCAAACTTCTTCCCGATCGCAACGATTACATTATGTAATTTACAAATGCGAAATAAAATCGGTTTTTTCCATGATTTTTTCTAAAATTGTACAGTATACTATTTTAATCGAAAAAAAAAACAATTCTCTCCAACTACGTACATGGCATATTATTATTATTATTTTAGCTTCGAACACGCCACCGCCACTCGTATCAGCACCGGGAACTTACGACCCGGCCGAGTGGAGGTCGAATTTTCGGACTGCTTTGCGCGGACCTGAGAAATTAATTACAAAACTTCTCTCTCTCTCTCTCTATGTGTATGTACTTGGGTCTCGCGCACGCGCGCGCAATCTTATACCGACGCGTGTAATTAATATTCTCATGACGAACGACTGTATATACGATCGCCTACACAGCAAAGCCGACCTGCGCGGCGCACTCGTCGTATATAATACACACCTCGTTAAAATTAGGTGTACTAAAAACGTCGTTTGGTCGAAAACCGACGGAACGTATGTATGTATATTTATATGATTTCACGTGCGCACGTATTATAACGCACAGTTTTTATACTCGTTACGTTCTATACGTTTCGAGGTCGGACGGGTTAATTACTACGCGCGTACTGCGCAGGACGTCCTACCGCCACCGCCGCCACCGCCATCACCGTTGAACCCCCGGCCCGATCGAGGAGAATTTCGGTCCGACAAACGCGAACACCTCCCCGGCGCGGGCGCACGAGAGAGAGATCGTCGTCCTGAGGATGTGAACGGCGGCGCGGGTGCAAAGAGACGGCGGCGAGTGGTGTGATATACGATCCGGTTGTCGGGGGAGGGGGGGGGAGGCGTTTCGAAAATATTTTTCTCGTAATTAAAACGACTGATTTTCACTTCGGCGTCTTATCGTACAGCGAAAGAGTAACGGGAGGGCGGGAAACGAGCTCGATTTAAATTGGGTACGTAGTTTTTTTTTTTTTTGTTTTTTTTCCCCCCCGCCGCCTCGTTTGCGCGGACGTGCGCACTACATGTACACGCAGTACCTGCAGTGGCGTCTACCCACACGTGTATGTAATTTTTCGTGAGCTATACGGTCACGACGGCGGCGACTACGGAACCGACGACGACGACGACGACGTAATAATAATTATTACGTTCTTCTCGTCGTTCCACCGTAGTCCGTTCACGGGAGAACGCGTCGATCGAACCCTCCGACTGCATTTATAATAATTATAATAATATGTTAAAATATTTAGGCGTGCTCGCGGTACTGTCTCGTTATTCGCGCTTTTATACGAAACGGATTTGGGAACGTTTTGGAACGTATCGTTGCGCTCGCGGACGGAACACAAAAACCGGTCGGTGACAAACTAACGACGTCGCAAGTAATGTAAACGATGGGATACGCGTCTAAACGCAATTCATTATTTCGTGTTTTACATCCGAACGCGCTCATTACACGTGTACCGATGTCCGAGGCAAACGCCGCGTCGCGTCGCCTGTAGCGTACAAAATGTATTATGTGCGTTCGGTACACGGTGTAACGATTTCGGCACTCCCTCGACCGTTATTGTTTTGTTGACATTTTACGTATTAGTTTCGCACCCGATGACCGTCGTGGTAATACGCGTGCAATGCACTTAGCAATCGATCGGATACAATTCGTTTGGATTGTTAAAAATGTTAGCTGTTTTAACGTGGAACGCACGCGCGCACAAGTTTTAATAATAACAATCGGCTCACATGCGCTTTCCACACGATCACATCGTTATGACGTACGAGCCCCCGACGGGGAGTCGTGAGCGTTATTAAAATAATATACACGTATTATACGAAAATTTAGAGTGCCTGTGCATCCGTTTGTTCCTTAACGAGGCGAACGGACCTTGGGACGGAGAAATAATTTACTCGAACTACTAACACGAAAGCACAATAATGTTATAACAACCGCGGCAGGTATTCTACAACATGATACCATTACACACGATTTCGATTACGCTCTTTAAAAACGCTTGGTTTTTTTTTTTTTTTTTTTTTTTATCGTAGTTTAAACGGCTAAAATCTCACTCCTTTCACTATTTATATAAATTGCAGCTGACGCCGTATAATATATATATATATATATATATAATATTATGTATACTTCGACGGACGGATGACGTCGGATACCGAACAAATCACCGCACGCATATCATTACCGTAAGTACTATGTACATGTGGGATACGTATGATGTATTGGCAAGTTGCAATACGCGACCACTTTATTTAGAGGTACACACTAGTTCAAGGCTAGGCAAATTAATAATATTTACTAACTCAGTCGAGCTCATTTATTTATTTTTTTTCAATCGAGTCAACACAGTTAAGGTTAAATGGATAATAGACATTTCGAATACGTATGGAATTGATTTATTTTAAAATTTTATCTTCAAACATCTCGGTTAATGTTCCAACAACAATGACACTGCGTAATAAATGTATTTGCATAATCTTCAAATAATATGATGAACTTAAAAAAAAAATGGCTTTTTTCGTTAATTCAGTTGAAAAATACAACGTAACATTTAAGTTGATGGTGCAGTACTGAAGAATTTAAGATGAATTTGAGTTAATGAAAACCCTTTATGAGTTAGCAAAAAAAAAAAAAAAAAAGCGAAATAAGATCAAATCAAAACGATTTATCGTTTCCCTCGGAACAGGGTATCAATTTACGCGTTTTGATGTCGAAAAATAAAAATTATACCTACACCCAGGGAATTGGTTTGGGATTTTGATGGATAGGTATCCGAGTATTCAAGTATTTCTAGGTCAAATTATTTTCGTGTCACCACATTTGTTTTAACCGCATAGTAGTCTGCATTCCGAAAAGCGTCTAAAAGTATTGTCGTTTCGAACATATCTCGTTGTGATTATAAATACGATGAAGTGACACATTATTATTGTAAAATAATCATAATTAAATCACATAAACATTCTTCATTTGGCCACTCCAGAGAATACGCGTGAACTAATTTCCTCAATTATACAGGCAACACCCAGTATATTGGATACAGTGCTCTAGTATCAAGTAATAGTAATGCGATTGCGTGTAATAGAAATGAACGAACACATCGAGTTGAAGACGTACGTGAAGGTTTTTTCAATTGGATTTGTGTACTTTTTAATTCGATAGACTGTATATATATATATATATATATATATATATATATATATAATACGTACCTATTTTTGAATTTTTTTTTTTGTTTTTATTGTCATAATGTTTAATCACTTGTATAAAGATACTATGTGTATACTGTATATGCATGTCATTCAAAAGAGATTGACACACATTTAGCAATTTTCAATACCGTTTCAACGGGCTTATTGTGAATAACCTCAATTTTGTCGAGGTCACATACGATGTAGTATAAATGCGAAAGAACAAACTTGAAGTGCATCATTTATAGGCACAGCATTTCAAAAATTCTGATGTGTTGTTAGTGAACAGTTTCTTCAACAAATCAATCATGTTCCGTGAAATATATAATTGTAACCTACTTACTTAATATTTTAGTCAAAAGATTGTAAATATCTTTAAATCAATTTAATTTTAAAAAAAGTTCAAAGTTAACAAATAATAATAAGGATTATTATTATTACTATTCGTTTTATTGTAATCGATAGCCCGCGGATTTGCGTTAGTAATAAATCGACCAAAAAAATAATAAATGATATAAGTATAGAATTCGATGGACGATAATCCGAATTTGAGTCGCGTAGACCATAAGTTCGTTTATATCTTGTATACACATACCGTCGACGGTACTGGGCACAATATGAATATATTGCTATGATAAACCGACATCTGATTAGTTGTTTGTCGTGTTTATACGTTTTTCCTGTATGAGATCTAATATTACGAAACCACCTAAACCATGGAGCTTACCAATAACCAAGACGGCACATACACATACATATAAATGTACAGGGGAACTACACAATAAAATGATTACCATGAGAAATGTGCGTCTTGATCTTAAGAAACCTTAAGAACTTGTGTCTGAATCGTTTAAAACTACTACAAGCGGGAATAGAACAAACGAAAAACACGAATACAAGAGCTCATCGTACAGTTTACTAAAATAAATGTATAAATACTTCACGCAATAAGATTATTATATATTCGATATTTTGATCTTTGGTTTTTCTCTTTTTAATTTTTTTAATAATTTTTTATCTTATTAGTTCTCATACCTCATGCACCGTGATGGTGTCATATTTTTCATGTGTTCTATCCAAACGGTTGATGAGGTAATTCCGTATGTATGTACGCCCAGTAGAATCAATTCTCGTCACAATTAATTTCTCTATATTTTCTACTTAAGAGACACAAGCAACCCTTCTCTCTTTTATACTCTCATTCACTCGACAGTTATTTATTTAGCACTGCGACTTTGTCGATAATTTCAGCAGACGTGATATTGTTATGTATTTTGTAATGATGCGTGTACGAAAATTCACGGCGAAAAAAAATTATTGCGCGATAATAATATATTATACTAGTCGCGTTTTCGCTTCTCCGAAACGCCGATTTTTACGATTATTTACACAGGCGCGTAAAATATTATTATTATTATTTTTTTCTTATTCTTCTATCATCCGGATAAACAATGTCACCGTGTGTCGTTTGACCGGACGCATTAACGTAAATCATTACCGAGCGACAATGTACGCGCGCACGACCTCATAACATAATATTCTCACATCAATGGGCCGCAGATATCGTCAATGGAAATGCGTCCTGCAGCGAGGGCGCATATAATAATAATACATTAAGTCGTAAAATTTGTTTTGAAAACTATTAGACGTTTTCTAGTACTCGGAAAATGGTGTAAACGGTTGTTGTCTTACACGGTTAGTTACGTGGACACTTAAAATTCTTTATGCGCGTTTAATTTAGACAGAATTATAGGTTCTGAGATTGTAAAAAGGAATTACATAAAACTGTACGTCGAGAGTTTATTAACCATATTATATGGTACGGGTACCGACCAACAATAAAAACGATATTAGGATGGAAAAATATGATAGAAATCAACCGATCGGCACCGAGACTAAACGGGTTCCGGTAAAAACAACCTGCACATTTTGGTCCGGTTCAACAGCGGCGTTCGAGTCGTTCGAACGTTTTGCAAGTTAAGAATTTCCGAAAAAAAAAAATAAATATTTAACGCCCGGCACCATTAATAAAGATTTATGTTGGCTTTTATTACCGTAATAATACGAGTGTGCGATGTTTAAATGCGAATATAAAACTTCGTAAGAAATTCTTTATTGGAAAAACAAATATTTAATCATTGTATACACAAAGTGATAATCGTTATGTAGATTTCCAGTTATTGTATTACTATTGGTTTTATTTTTTTCTTACCAATAAAATATAACTACACGGTAGACGCATGGGGGTAGTGCAATGATATATGGTATGTCGGATGAATTGTTTCTACGGTATTTTTATTGACGCAAGTGTAATTAAAAACGAACTATTAATTGATACAGTGATAAAAACGTGCGTTGATCGTGTTATTGTATTATATCGATCGATTAATATTCGAGAAGGCGTCGAAGGATAAAACGACTGTCGGTGGGAATCTAGCATATAAATCATCATGATCAAACAATAAAAAAAAAATACACAGTTAATTCGAAGGGAAAGGGCCGCCCATTTGACATTCGTTCATAATTAGTATATAATATATGCGTACTTTTCGTTAACCAATTACTATTACGACAATCGTACACGTTAACTGAAAGCAATAACGTCATCGTAGCAGTTGTTCCGTTATTGTATACGTTTCCTTCTATTCACGACGTACGTGCGCTATCTGGACATGTCGGTTTTCAACCGTGGAATCATGAAATAAAGCAGTCCCAAAAACTTAAGATTTTGAACGAGAACAGAAAAAACAAACCGACTCACACGTCTCTAAGCCGTCAAAATCGTAATACCAATATCATTCGTTTACATTTCCAAACGTCAATAGCATGTTTGGAGTTAATTATAACTATCGTGCGACTTACTGACCGCACGCATAATACTATAACGATTCAATAAAGATCATTGTTATTGTTCTGTCGCGCGTTTGTTGAAAGTTTAAAATGGTCCGGGTAAAACAACAGCCATACAATTGTAGGCATATTTTTTCGGCGTCAATGCGTGCGTATGTAAATCGTATAACATCGATGTTTTTTGATTTCAATTCGAACAATATGGTATTATATTACGCGGACGATTATGCCAACAATGATAAATCGTGCTCAGGACTAAGATTAACCGATTAGTAATTTAACTAACTTACCATTAATAGAACGAAAGCACTCTGGATTATTTTTGTTAACCTGAAACAAAAAAATAAAAGCAATATTAGTAAAACGTAACGCATAACACACATAGGCATATATACACACACACACACACACACACACACACACACACACATATACACACAAACATACACAAACGCACACACACATTTATTCCGTCATAGCATTTTGTGTCGATGTTTGACGGATGAAAACGTTCGGTGATCACTGTAGTATACCGTTATGGAAACGAGTCGACAAATTGGCCGGCGTTTTGTTTAGGCAAAACATACACCATAAACGGCTTGAGGTTAATTCATTCGACGTGCGTTTGGACTTTAGGCGAACGGGAGAAATTATTCTTCTTGTTCCGATGCGTTCGTCGACCATTATCGGTTTTAATTGGTGTAATATCAATATTATGTACTCGACGAGTGTTACGAAAACATGAAAAATATAACGATCGACAGTAGAAGTTAATAATAATAATAAAGTGTTAATCGAATGTATAATATTTAAATATTATAAGCTGAGACTAGTTCTGAGTGGTAAATAGTTGAAACACAGAAGAGAAAAAATTGCACAGACGTGTTACCCGTCGCTGTATGACAAAAATATAGGTTAAAAACCGGTTATCGTTTCATAACTACGTAAAACATTTTAATAAATCATCATAAATTTATGTAAAAGTGAAAATATCTAAAATAATAATTATGATAATCCTAAAAAAAAAAAATGCGTAATATAAAGTTGTAAATAATTCGTCACTTGATTTATTGAAATTAAATGTCATTTAATACACGTAAACAAGTAGTTGTATAAAATAATTAATAGTTACTATTTTTCCAATGAAATGTTATACACACATTATCGGTCCTTCGGAGAGCGGTAGCTGCCGATAAAAGACAATAATATCAAAGCAGCATTATTTGTTTAATTCGTTTGTGGGTTAATCGCAAAAAAAAAAAAAAAATATATTTTTTTGGAATTTAAGAAGTGAAATATTCCGCGTAGAAGCTGTGTTCATTCGTACGATATGTTATATTATACAGTATAAATGTGTCAAGTATTGAGTGAACGTGTTTTATCGGAGTGGCGAACAGAAGTTGACGTTTAATTCGCGCAGAAAAATTGTAGACAACAAATACTTGCTAAAAAAATTTGAAAATAACCAAAGGACAAGACGCGTATCTTATTTGTAAACTAGTTGTATGGTGTACTATACATGGTGTTCCGTACCCACTGCATGTAAACGCGGTCGTCAAACGGTTTTCAATTATTGCCGAAGTATTGTCTTCGCACAACTATCAATATATATATATATATATATATGCGTGTTTTGATATGGTTCGAAGGATCGATTCAACATTATTATCTTTTCGCTTACGTCTTTAGTCGTGTGCAAATACGTTTCAGACCTAATCGCAGATTCCATTTTTAAAGTACCATTTACGATCGGTGTACGCGTTGTTATATTCACAACATATTTAATGTTTATGTCTCGTTCTCGCACCTCGCTAATCCGCAGTATAGTACACACCGAGATAGGTGTACCGAGTGCAGGTTACTAAGGCACTGCCAACCGAACGATTTCGTTTTATTCACTCGCCGGCGGCAGAAAACAGTGTGTTTTTCGGTTTAAAATGTTTTCCTTTGCAACGTTATCGTTGCACATTCGAATACGAAGGACAGGTCACCAGAGCCTCGTCCGTAGATATATGTTACGTGCGCGTTGGCAAAGTATATATTATAATTGTTCGAACACCATCCGTTCTCCTGCACAGATTGTAACGACTGCACTCAATCGCGGGTGGCTGCGATGCATACCTAGGTTCTCGAAACGCCTTGAAACGAGCGATGTTTTCTCGCGAGACATTTTTTCGTTATAAATTTATTTACGGGCACGGCAACAGCAGTAAAAACGCGTCGAACGCAAGCGTGTTGTGCGCACGATATTTTGCCGGTTTTAATTTTATTAAAAATCGCGATAAATTATTCGCGCGCTTCCGGCGTACATGATATGTTGTAATAATACTAATCATACGATTAGTAGTACGTGACATAATATAGACGTTGGACACTATTAATATTTTGAAGCCCAGTCAACGTTTATGAGAAATAAATAGACCGACGACTGTTTTAAAATCATTACAAATGTATTGCAGTTGCCGAATAGTGAAGAATAAACGAAAGAGAGAGAAACAGAGTGAAAAACATCAAAACGTCCGATCACCACTCGGAACGAGGAGTTATAATATTCCTATCGAAAAACGATTATGATACAATCATATAGTAACCACAACGGAATCTGAAACATTTTCTACGATAACAGATGGGCGTTAAAACGGCGTACAGTATATGTACTGTACACTGAAGCCGATGTATAATCTTATGTACGAGTACAACATGAAACAATCCGTGTATAAAAATTGCTCGAATATTTTACTTGTCGTAAAACATTTTGACCGTTACGCGAAACGCGTAGTCCAGGCTGCAGCGAAAAAGAGAAAAAAAAAAGAAAAAAACCATTCAAGCGCGACAAATACAAATGTTATGCGATAGCGTGAATATAAAATACGGGGGTATTGCACCAGGACGCGTGGCTTGTTTCGACTCGAGATCCCACGTACGCGCACGTACCTCCACCCCGATAGGTCATTAAACAAAATATGTGTTATTCGCGCGGAACTTGAAGTGCGCTGTGTTAAATGTGTACGACACGTCATATTAAACGTGTAGTGTATAGAAACGGTAGAAAACATTATGCACGGAGTTCATACGGCTTTTATTTTTATTTTTTTTTTCTACCGGTTCGCGCGGCTATGAAACAATCCGCGTATGGTAGTCGATAAGAAAAAACGTGCGGCCATTGTACGCGATACGCGCGTATACGAAGTATATTTTAAACGAGCGCATTGAATTTAAAATAAACGTTGTAGGTGTACTATGGAAATCGCTTGACAGGACAACCCCGAACTCGGTTTGCGGTAACCACAATATTTCCCGAACTGTTCCCGCCAGGAACTCGACGGGCATTTTATCACTCTTGTCTTACCAGTTGGGAGTTCACGCAACCCTTTCCCCCCGCTACCACTACCACTGCATTCTTTTCGTAGTTCAATACTCAAGTAAACATATATATATATATATATATATATATATATATACGCGTGCGTTTATGACACAAATATAATTAATATCGGTTTAACGGGTTCTCCCGCGGATGCTCCCCCTCCTAACTCCTCTCGTCAAGTGTGTCGATAATGAAATCTACATATGGTCGGGTGTACGTACGTGTACACGGTTCGAAAAGAGAAAAAACAGTTTATACGTATATAAATCGATATACGATTATTCAAAGAGAGAGTGAGAGAGAGAACAGTGATACGTTGTAGAAAAGGACAAGGATAGATAGAAGGAAGAAGAAGAAGAAGAGGAAAAATAACGCGCGTGAAAAAGGACCGCGGCGCGCGCGCGCAAGAGATTATAAGCACCGATAAAGAACAGCGGCGGCGGCGGTGGCGGCGGCGCTACAACAGGTTTTTAATCTACTCTGATAGATCCATTATAAATGCTTTAATACGGTGTGAAATGAAAGCTTGTCGTCGAGTTAATAATACAGCAGCGTCTGACGATCATATACGTATACATTACGTATAATACGGGAGATAGGTCGGTCGCGGTCTTACTATATGCGCCCACCACATGCACCGGGTCGAAAAAAAAATAAATATATATAAAATGTATCGTACGAGTACGCGCGCGTGTGTGTACGTATTTTTTAGATATTCGATTTTTTTATTATTATTATTATTTTTTTTGGTGGCGGCGTGGGTCAGTCCTGGGAGAGCGAATAGGATAGATAATGATCGGGGTTTGTTCGCGTCGGATTAATAGCGTATCGATGAAAACGAGTCTGTCAACCGGCTGACGGCGGCGGCTGACCAGAGAGAGAGAGAGAGAGAGAGAGAGAGATAGGTAGTAGGTATACACATCGCACGTACATGGTATACACGTATACGAGTATAGACCGCGTAATAGAAAGAAAAAAAAATAATATCGAAACATGTGTTTATAATAATAATAACCTATTACGGCGTCTTAATGATTTTCAATTATTATTGCCGCGAACCGTACGCGCTCGCGGACTAATAAATCGTGATCAATCAAACGCGCGCGTTCGTTTCGTTTCTACGTCGTTGTCGTCGTAACAACAATAATCGTAATAATAACCGTGTACGATATCGCCGCAGCGGTGCACTATTATAATATTATGTTATAGTCGCGACTACCGTTTCGCTCTCTCTCGCTCCCTCCTCGTCCCAAACAGGGTCATGCGCGTTTCGCTTTTGGTATTTTTCACCTTTTCGGTGTGTACGACTATTGTTGCTGCCGTAACGCGACCGACCGATTGTTGCTCCGCCGACGCAACATTCACGTGAACAATGCACCGAATCCATATAATTATACATCACCAAAACCGTTCTTCTTCTCCGCGTCGCCTTGTTTACCCGTGCCCCGATACGGTCGCCGCGGTGTACCTAGTCTTATGAGTGGCTATTTTTCCATTTCGCGTATGCACCTGCGTCGCGCGATTTCTTTTTATTTTCTCTCGCCCGGACACTTCATTCACGCGGCGGCTACTCTTTTTCTCTCCGCGTGTAATTTATGTACACACGTCGACGCGCGCACGTGAAACACAATGAAAATATGCGCACAAAAACATGACCGGACGCCTCGGCGATAAAATAAGGACGACAAAAGGACTGCGATCCGCGCACTGTATTATAATACTGTACGCAGCAGGGACAATGGAAATTCGTATACACCGCAACGCATATAAATTATAGGTCACGTCGCGGCGCTGCATTCGGACCGCGTGTGATGTGCGGCCGTTCTGCGTGGTATCCGTCACAGGTGCAATATTTGTTATACATAACGTGGGACATCACTGTGCAGTTTCTAGTATTAGTTTCCGCGGTATTATATTAATATTATATTCCTCCGTATTACGGTGGTCCATACGCACAAACGTA